ATTAATATTGAATTTTGTATTATAAGCAACTGAGACTGGCCTCTGTTTTTCTATTTATAAATATTTTGAAATGGCTGTTTTGGTTGAATGCCAGAATACCTATTGGTTATGGACTAACGGGTATACCAAAAATACTTTCCAAAATCCGAAGAAAGTGTCTATTCCCAGAGGGTATTCTAAGATGTTAGTGTTACCCTCCGCTTCACACGATTTTCCTCGGGGGCCGTCTTCCAAAATGGTATCATGTCGCCAACCTATCAGCAAGCCTATAGGAGTGTTCCCTGGCTGCAGTAGTAGGCCAAACGGATCCACACAATTAACTTCGTTTAGGGTAATTTCCGGGCCAAAGCCCTTCGGAGAGCATAGTGCATGTGGCATAGAACCCCGGGGGCACTGGAGGTCAGATCATATTACAAGCCGAACAAATCTCTGGGCCTCTCTTCTTTCTTTCCCCCGGAAAAGCAGAAAGCTGGCCGCTCCACATGCGAGTGACAAGTTAAACGTCGGTTTCATAATTGCTCACGGCTCTTGAGTAAATCTGGTATCAGATTTCGCACGGGCTGGAAAAATTCAGCTGTGTGAAAATTGCGGGGTCGGGCATTGCTTATGTATTTTTAGCAGCGAATGCGGAAAACTCTTTGTGTAAGCAATGCAGTTGTTGCCACATGGCCCACAATTTCGAAATACCTCACAGAAAATAACGAAAACTATTTCAATACTCGACTGTGAGTATTTGCAATTCAATTTAGTTTTAGTGCAGGCCAAGAACCAGAGAAAAACGAGTTGGTTAACTTTTTATTTTTGGGGGAAATTGGAAATTTCAAGGTTCAGATTTCGCGTTTGCACGGGCCAATGTTTTTTGGGGATGGTTTGTGTTACTAGATCAAGGATACACAACTGCGTAGGTGGGGGGGTGGACAGGTGTTAACGGACTTTTTTCGGTGCCAGGCACGACGACCTCTGTTGCCATTGACACTCGGTTGGGGTTTAACCTTTGTTTTCCCCCCTTCGATTTAGGGAAAATGCTGAAAAGATGTCACTTGGATTCAATATGTTTATAAATGTTTATAAATAATACGTAAAGCCAATATTGAGAATACAGAGAATAGAAATAACGTTAAAAGAATAACAATGAATTTGATTTATTACAGCAAAAATGATTGGAGAATTTTCGTGTTTCTAATATTTGGGGGCCAACTTGTGAAAATGATGAAAATATGGAAAATACAGATACTATAAATAACTTTTAAAGGATGACATAATATGATTTATCACAAAAAAACTTATATTATATTATGAAAATTATGTTCAACTTTCAGATGATCAAATGATGAATATTATATTTTATTAGCTATGAAGGAATAGTAACTAGCATTAGCATTAGTAACTAGACATTTATTTACTATATTTTTATTTTATGTTGGTACTTGTTCTCAGAATTATGAACTTTTTACCTGCAAAAATATATACTTAAGAAATGTCTTTTCCAAAATTATTTATATTTCGGTTACTATTAATTATATTCGTTCTGCCTCTCGGGTGATATTTGGCAAATAAAGTTTCACTGAAACTTTGACCTTTTTTAATGGTCTCAGTTACAAATGTGCGGAGATACTGGTTGTTTATGCCCTTCAAAGCATACTCTATGGCAAATCAGATTTCCCGCAAGTGAAATGTCAAAAATCAGAGCCATGCGTTGCACGTTAATTAAATTAGCTGCTATATTTCTATATATTATATATGTATGGAAAGGTGGGGAGATTCTGAACCCGCGATAGGAAAAAGCGGAGTGACACGTGAGCAATTATTCCTGTTCAGTGTTCGGCTCGCATGTCGTCGTCATTCCTGGACATAGAAAAAGTCCACTAACGAATAAATGGGCAGATAATGGAATGCATGAATCAGAGCTGAAACCTCAGGGTCTGCAGGGCAGAGAAGTTGGGTGAGTCACGGATGCGGGAAGTTGGAAATGCCTTTGGGCCCAGAAAACGGGTCTTGAAGCTGGGCTTTCGACCCGCAGAGAAATGGGTGTGACGCACATTTGGAAAGCTCGCTCACAGTTGCATTCGATTAATATTTATTAAATTACACAGCCACTTGAGTCTTATGGTAACAACTGTTTTCCTCAATTGCAGCCACCACGCCAATCAATTAAAGGCGTTCCGCAAATTAAAGTTCAATCAACGAGGCTTGTACCGCCTAATCGATCGCCGAAGATGCAGTGCGGCCTGGAGCAGATGAACGACTGTGAGCGGTCGCCGAACCGGACGAACCTCCGGGTCAACTTCAACGAGAAGGGGGCGGAGGTGAAGGAGCGGCGGGAGAAGTTCCTCACCGCCAAGTACGGGTCACACCAGATGAGCCTCATCCGCAAGCGACTGGCCGTGGAGATGTGGCTGTATGATGAGCTCCAGAAGCTGTTCGATCCACCAGTAAGTAGTTCTCATCTTAAAAAAGCTGGGAAGTCGAAAGTGACGAGCACTCCTTCAATAAAATTTATAAAACCACATTTTGTGATTATTATTATATTTTCTTGTCAACAAAGTATCATCATCTTAATATTCTTTAGTTAGGACAAATGTGGCACAGTTTTTGCTGCTTTCAAACAAACAGGCAATTTTCTTTGCACGGTTGTATTTCAATTTAATTTAATTTTTTTTAGTTTCTTAAATAGTGGTAGAACAATTGTGTTTTAGGTCATCAACCAAGAAAAAAATTACCAGAAAAGCAGACTCTCTAGTCTCAGTTTAAAAACTGCCTTACAGATTTGTAAATATAATTACTTTTAAATGGATATTTCTGCTGAAATTTGAATAAATTAAAAAAACTGTGAATTCTTTTCCAGATCCTATTTCCTAAAATTACGCGTTTTTACTTTCAACTCAAGTTCTTTAAAAACAATACCATTTTTGAAATCTTTTAGTATTTAAACTTAAAGAGAATAACAATATTTTATACCAATACACTCTCAAAATTAATTTTTTTAATGAAATATGTTAATATTAACCATATTTATTGTATCCCCAGAACGAGGCCATCGATGTGGACATTGACGAAATACTGGACATGGACACAGATGACATTAGAAGATCTCATCTTATAGTGAGTACCAAAGTATAATATAGAATTACACCCAGCTAATTGCCTTTTTCCCGCTTTTGCAGAGATTACTGTCAGTCTGCAAACGCCCGCAATCGGACATATCGAAGTTCATTGGCGATCTGCTGGATCGCGCAAAAACCCTGTAAATCGAAAGCCCCTCATTTAAACAATCATCCAGCAGACCTACACATATAATATGCAGATAAACAACAAATACCTAGAATATTAAGTTTAGCTTGGAACACAAAGAACAAAGAATTGAGTTTGCAAGTCTTTAATCTACCTATTCGAACACTGTGTTGATTTTTTCCATGTACTTTAGTTGTTAGTTTATATCTTTGCGCTGACTTATTTGAAGTTTAACCTAATTTAAGCAACCCCTGAAAATGATACACATGATGGAGATCGCTAGCCCTAAGCTTATGGTGTAATGCCGCGAAAACAAAATACTTCATCAATTTTGTGATGATATTTTTTAAATAAAACACAAGCATGATATGGCCGAAAACCAAAAGTCAATGTTTAGCTACATTTGAATTGAAAACCTTTGGAAAGGAGAACCCCATTTAGTTAAATAAATATGAGTAGATCCAATATTGAGGGGCATTTACTCCCTTTGTGACACTCCGGTTGTTTGCAAAACTAGTTTATTTGCATGTGTGTGCTTCATTTAACCTACCTACCCCAAAATATCATATATCTACGTGGCCGAAAGCTGCAATTTAATAAAAGAAAAATATAAAATTTTTGTAAGTAAAGTGTGCGATCACCAAGTCAAAGATGAAAGCTCAGGTTCACTGCCAAAACGTGGAGGAGGAAGATATTGTATGCGCAGTTAGCAAGTACAAACGGTAATGGAGAACAGAAGCACAGTAAAGCCTGGCAAAAAGGAATTTTAACCACACATCCAATACTTTGTTCTCTTGATCCAGCAAACCGAATCTATTCTGATTTTGGCTTCAAGACAACAAGAACTCACATCATATAAATGGTACTGCATTTTAGAAAGCCAAGACTACACAAATTCAATAGTTGTAAATAAAATGTTAATGAATCCTCCACAGCTCGACACTCAAACAATTTGTAAATACCCTCGGAAAAGCATCAACACTTCTTCACTCCACGAAATCTACACCACTTTGTAGTAGTATCTAAACATTTTCTAGCAATCGAAACGTAACGTAAAAGTATTTTAAATGTGCTCAATATAGGCGGAAGATGAGGGATATACCCCTACTTCTCTCTATCAAGTCTACATAGTATTAGTAACTTCTTAAAATATGCTATTTGCATACTAGTAACAACCAATTAATCATCGCATTACCCCATCGCAACATTAAAAGATCGCATAAATCGATTATTTAAGCAAGTTTAGCATTATAATACTTAATCATGCACACAATTCTCATTTAAAAAAAAAACCAGAAAAGCACACACAAAAACACGAGCTAAAAGGTGCGAAGAGCTGTTATGAAAAGCTATTTGAAAATATTTATAAAACGCAAAAGAAAAGTTTACAATAAAAATTTAATTGCTTTAGACAACAAATTTGGGTGTTTTATTGAACCTTTTTACCTTTGTCCCTTTTCCATTTTATTTTTTTTTTGATTTTGATTGAAAAGATATGTTTAAACTTTGTTGATTACAGAGTAAATTGTATCAACTTTCTAAAAATCAAGCTCGGCTTATAAATTGTCCTTCATTAGAGACTCATTCTCGTTCTTTAATAATGGTATTTAAATAATTGACCATAAATAATATGAATCTGTTGAATAGTCAGCCTATTCAAATTCAAAAAGTGCGGCTGGTAACGGAAAGGAATCGATAGAACCGCTACAATCGATACTTGGCTAGACAGTGTTGCCAGACTGATGTACTTTTGATGCATATTACCGGGATGGTAGCACTGATACAGCTGATCAAAAATGTTGTAAACAATATTGAATAAAGATGGATATGAAGGATTACTACACTTGGACATACCCGGATATACCCGCAAATGTGGCGTAAGATAAGCAAACCCTGCCGTTAGCATCTCACCAAGAATTTTCTTTAGCCAGGAACTGAGGCAGCTGAAAAGTTCGCTTGTTGTGGTCGGAGTCGTGGGCCGGTCGAAATGCGATCAGGCCAACAAGATGCAGGCCTTCGGCATGGAACCTCCGATTGAGCACTCGGCGCGGGATGGCCAGATGCAGTGCTACTACAAACCGGGCACCTCCTGCCTGCTGCTGCACTTCGAAACCACCTATGACGAGGTGATCCTGGGACAAATGATAGACGCCTGCATGGAAGACACTGAGAAGCCCTTCGATTTCGATAGCTTCTACGAGGGGATGCGTTGCCGCTTTGTGCGCATGATGCTGCTGGCACTCCATGTCTGCCACATTGTGGTCTACGTGGAAACCGGCCAGACCTTCGATCCCACGCTGGTCACTGTGTTCCAGCTGCTTAAGTTCGCCAGGGAGCAGCATCTAATGCAGTTCTTGCCGCAAATGCTCAGGGAAACCCCCGCCGCCAGGATGGGCGAGAAGGGTCGCCTGTGCGCCCCCAGGATTCTCTTCCTGTTTGAGAACTTTCCGCGTGAAGAGGCCAAGACGCGGGAATGTGTCTCCGCCTATGAGTTCCAGACAGAGGACTGCATCTACGAGCTGCTCCGCCACCACAATATCGTGACCAACAGCAGCAGCACTTCACTGGTGGCTCTGCCCAACAATAAGCAGTTCGTTTTCTTCAACGCACACGAAGAGTTGCATCCGGACAAGTTGCTGAAGGCCATCGAGTGCCTTAATTTGGCGATGTACAAGCCGGATACTAAGGAGGAGGAGGAAGACCTGGAGATCCTCGAGCTGGCACCTTTCGAAGGCTTCGTCAAGCCCTATGGCGTTCCGGCGGATGAGAAGGAGTTGGAGGAACAGCAGTACAAGAAGGACCACACCGTCTGGCACTTTCTGCAGCGACACGTGCAGGACGCCTTGTTGGGTTGCTTCGATGAGGGCTCCTTCAAGCAGGCGCCCCATCTGGGGCAGTTCCATCTACTTAATATTCAGGAGTGGCACGATTGCATGGCCACGCTCTACAAGCTGCTGGTTGAAAATTCCAAAACCCCTAATCTAGAGACCATCAACGAGGACTATGTAAGTAAAATATATCAGTGATCCTAGGAAAGTAAGTTATCTTTATTTTATCATTCCAGAGACTCTTTCTGCAGGGCTTCGACGAGAGCTTGAATTATGAAAAAAAGTAAGAGAGTTAACATTTATTGTTTGAGAGTCTCTACAGCATTTTCCCTGCAGATTTTGGGCTCACCTGTGCGAATTGGGCCTAAAGAAGGGCATATCCGCATATAAGAACGCTGCTCCCGCCAACTACGGCAGCTCCACCCACAAGCAACTCCTGGCAGAGGCCACCGTTGCCTTCGAGGAAGAGGGACGCGGTCCACAGGCAAAGGCGGCGCTGGCCAAGCTGGCAGCCGTATGCCAAAAGCACTGGCAGGATGGGCGGCAGCAGTGCGAGCAGCTCAGCCTGCGGTCCCATCCCTGCACCCTTCCCAAAAACGTGCCGCACGAGAAGCACAACAGCGGGGTGATCCACATCTCCAGCTGCAACTGCGGCCGCACACAGGGACGCCGCGAAGATCCTTTCAATCTGCGGCAGGCCAATTACGAGTACTATGAGCACATGGCCCAAATGTGCAACCTGTGTGTTAAGGTCAAGCAGTACCAGTTCCCCATCTTCGAGCCCTCAGTGAGTGATTATCGGGCGGCGGCCTTTGAAGCGGCATTTCCTCTGCTGCACCCGGGCAAGAGTGGTCCCCCGCAGGACGAAGACGAAGAGGAGGGGGAGCCTAATGATGAGGAAGAAGGCCAGGAGCCACAGCAGCCGGCGGAGGAGGAGCAGCAGCCGAATTCGGCCAACAACGGCTGCTCGCAGCCACTTTCACCCACTTTTGGCTCGGACCTTAACATGTCCATAGCTGGATTCGGAGCCTCACTGAACGAATCGCAAGCCAGCTCGGAACAGTTGACGAATTCCGAGCAGAACTCCACGAGCAGTGGCACCTCTAGCGCTGATACGGAAAACGAACTCGTGGTGCAAATCCAGGAGCCGGCCAAAAAGGAGGCCCGCGAAGACGCAGGTCCACCCGATGCCTTCTCCACCTCCACCACGGAGTATTTGCCGGGATTGGTGCACACTGTCAGCGACTTCGGCCTTCTGCCGCTCTTCCCAAGCTGGTCACTGGCCTGCGTGGGTCCCAGCTCCATTTACAGCCACAACACCGGGCTGCAGGAGCACTTCCAGAGCGGTTTCTTGTCTGGCGCCAATTTCCTTCTGCCCTGGGATGTCCAACTGAGGCTGGTCCACGCCCCCAAGCAGCAGCACCACCCGCACCACCAGCAGCAGCATCCTGGCAAGAAGCAGCAGCGCTGGAAAAAGCAGGGCGACAGGCTTTCGCTCAAGATCTTTGTGGGCATGGAGTACGAGTGCTCCCGCGGGCATCGGTTCATGATGTGCGCCCCCGATCGGGTGCTGCGCGGCGGAGCGGACATTGAGCGGGACACCTGCAGCAAGGTGGTGCACAACAACATGCCGCTGTACTATCCCTGCCCCTGCCGATCCCAGAACAACTATCTGGCGCAGCTTATGCGCATCCACGTGGTCACGCCCAAGGCGCCGGTCAATATCATTGTGGATCCCAAGGTGTGCGTGGGCAAGGGCAAGTACACCTTCACCCTGGGCAGCATAATTCCGCCACGCCTGTCGCAGAGCGCCTATTGGATTATCCGGCTGCCCTACGTTTACCAGGGCGACGATGTTCTGATTGCGCCGCCGGAGAAACTGGAACCGGATGATCCGATGGCCGGCGGTTACCTGCTGCCCGGGATGTTCGGCGTGGCCGAGACGGATCCCACACAGGATCTGAATGAGCCTGGACGTATGGCAGCGTCTGCAGCAGGAAACTTCACTAGAATTTAAAGCTTACGGTAGGCAGATAAAATCTACGCTAATAAACACAGTAAAGAAGTAGTTTAAAAAATTACTTTTAAACGATTATATCTTGAGTTTTATTTTGTGTTCAAATAATAACAGTTTTATTACATATATACATACGTTCTGTGCGTTTTATTTTGATAAAAAAAACTTTAATCTTCAGTTTTATTTGTATACTCTTGCAGAGTATTATAATTTCGGTCAAAAGTTTGTAACGCACTGAAGGATATATTTCCAACTAAAATATATATTCTTGGCATATCCGTTTTTCTATACGTTTGCGAGCTCAGTTTAAAAGCTAGACACCTAAAACATAGTCAATCGTCTTTGGACGCAGATCATAGTAACGATTGGATCAAATTTGTTTAATTTTTACGTAATTGTGTTTGCAGTTTTGGTCAATTTTTGGATTAATAACTTAAGTTTTTTCCAATATCAGAATTCTATGGCTGTCAGATATCTGGCAAAAGTAAAGAACATAAAACCTTACAAATTGTAGTCACGGTAAGCGTGACATATAAATAACTGCAGTTATTAAAATTTCAGCTTGCCATAGCTAGTTTTATTTAGTTATCTATTTAAAATATAACACGAATTCTGATTTCTTTGAATATATGTGAATCTGACTATTTTTAGGTACAATAACCAAAACCATTAAAAAAAATTAATAGTTTATCCTATTCCTAAATATTTTTCTCAAATTAAATTCGTATTTATTTAATTAAAAAAATAATTATTTTGTTAGTTGTTGCTGTAAATTTAAACAGAGATTTAAAATTGTCTTTTTTGTTCAGACTATCAACAATAAATAAGTGTATAAAACAAAGATTGTAAGGAAAGAAGTTAACTCGTTGAGTTAATAAATTAAAAAAAATAAATTAGCTTGTCATTTCCAACCGTTTTAATTATCTTAGTCACCCAGAATAAAAACACTTGACTTTTAGATTTAACGATTAATGTAATCTCTTCAGGCGATTTAGGAAAATACGCGACGTGGAATATTTGGAACATTATAATTCCAACAAGGGTAAGGGCATATCCTTTGGGATGTAAAATGAGCAGCATAAAGTATGTCTTAATACTAACAAAATGTAATATCTTTAGAAGATGATGTGCAAATACAATACGTCCATTTTCTGATGATCCATAGTCGTGTGGGCTTTGTGTTGAATAAGTTACAAAAGTGGAATTTCGCTTTGGTTGCACAAAATGTGTAATAAGTTGTACTAGGAATGCTCCCCAAATATTTTCTGATCTATTTACGATTAGGCAAAAAAAATTGGTTTCTGGTGGATAACTTTTGTAAGTGTTCAGTTTGTATGAAAAATATTTCAGTGATCTTTAAAGTTATTTTTACAACACAGACCTTCGTCTTTAGCAAAACTACATGGTACACGAAGCTAAATTGTGACATTCTTATCTTTTGACGTTTCTTAAAACATTCCCAATTTTTGTTTTTTCTAGTCCGTTGTAAACATATCGGATATTAAACAATAGCAATATAATAAAAAAATATAAAATCGGGCAAATTAATTGGTCAACATAAGGTTTGGGTGCGTAATACCATTCGTTGACCCTAAAACTATTTAAGAACTGAGCTGCCCTTTCAATGTAAATATGAACTGCCTTCATAAACTATGGCCGATCGTAGTACTTAAATCTAAATGAGCTCCTCGGTGTAGACCTCCTCCTCGTTCAAGACAAAGTCGCCGAACACCTCCTCCTGGCAGCCGACGTCCATGTCGGCAAAATCATCGTAATACATGTCAGAATCCAAAAGGATCTGCTCCTCCTGCAGACCAAGAATCGGATAACTCTGGTGGGTCAGAGGTTCCTCTGCTTCCTGCATTTCAGCCTTCACTTCTGGCATCTCGTCTTCCTCCTCCCCATCCGGTGGATCCTCCGTTTCGTCCGGTTCCTCTTCATCCTCGCCAGTGGAGTCCATTGCCGGTATCTTCGGCTGCTGTGGGATAAGCATTTGCTGCTGCTGCTGGTTCATCTGCTGCCAGACGGATTGGATCCGCTGCATGTAGGCTTGCTGCTCCTCTAGGCTGCACTTTCCCTCCGGTAGAGATCCTACCGGCGCCGTGTTCATGGCCGACTGCTTCATCGTGTCCAGGAGCGCTGCGTGCTGGCTGGTCACGTGGTTCGCCAGCGCAGTGGCATCCGCGTGTAGCGATCCGCAGACGATGCAGACCAGCGTCTCGTGTGGCTGCTTGGTGACCAGCAATCCAGGGGAAGAGGAGGCGGAGGCGGCCACCTGGTGCGCCTGGATGTGCTTGTTGAGATACGCTTGCTGGCTGTAGGACTTTCCACAGATGGGGCACGTGAAGGGCTTCTCGCCCGCGTGGATTTTCATGTGGACACTGAGGCTCGAGGCCTGGGTGAAGCACTTCTCGCAGAGCTTGCACTGGAACGGCTTTTCGCCGGTGTGGATACGCATGTGGATGTTGAGGCTGCCCGACTGGGTGAAGGAACGATCGCACAGGGAGCAGGTGAACGGCTTCTCACCCATGTGGTTCTTCATGTGCTGCACCAGCTCCGAGCTGGCGCGGAAGGCCTCGCGACATATGGCGCACTGGTAAACCAGCTCCTGCGTGTGCATCCGCATGTGCTCGTCCAGCAGCGCCTCCGCCTTGAACTCCCGCTCGCACTCCGGACAGACGAACGTCTCCGTGGGCGCGGCGTGGGTCTTCTGGTGCAGCAGCAGCGAACTGTAGTTGATGAATCCCTTGTCGCACTCCAGGCACTGGTGCGGCTTGCGCACCGAGTGGGAGCGCATGTGCACCATCAGGCTGCTGGACTGCGTGAAGGCCTTCGGACAGAGCTCGCACTTGTACGGCCGCTCGCCGCTGTGGATCCGTATGTGCGTGTTGAGGCTGCCGATGTGCGTGAAGGTCTTCTGGCAGATGGAGCACTGGAACGGCTTGTTGGTGATGTGGGAGCGCACGTGCTTGGACAGATCGCCGGCGTTGGGAAAGCTGGCCTCGCAGTGGGTGCACTGGAAGCACTTCTGGTTGCCATTCAGCGCCGGATCCATTGCTGGCGTTTGGACATTGCTGCGCCTTCCCCGCCTGCGCTTGATGGGCGCCGAATCCAGGGAGAATCCCAGGGGAGGAGTGGGTGCAGGTGGTGCAAACTGGTGCACGGGGGCCAGGCTAATGTTCGGCTGCAGCATGAATATGGAGGTGGACTCCCGGGGATCCGCCATCTGCAGCTGGAACTCGTTCAAGCCCGGTCCGGCCACCAAGCCACGCATGGGCTGCATGGCCTCCTGGCTCTGCTGGGTGTTGGAGTTACTGGAGCTGGGCACCGTGCTGCCGGACGTGGAGTCCGATCCGCTGGAACTCGAGCTGGAGCTGCTGTCGTCGTCCTCCGAGGAGGAGGAGCTGTCCGACTCGGAGGAGTCGCTACCCTCCGAGGTGTCGCTGCCATCCTCCGCCAGCTCGCACACGGGCTCAAAGATCCAGCTGTAGTCCTCGCCCTCGTCGCCCGGACTTTCCTGCTCCCGCTGCCCATTGGTGGGCTCGTTCGGATGCAGTGTGTTCATGTGCTGGTAGAGGGCCAGTGGGTGGACAAAGAACTCGGCACAGCACATGCAGTGGAAGGTGAGATCCGGTGGCTGCGGCTGGGGAGGATTCGGTGCCGGCTGCAGGATGTGCTGGTGCTGCTGCTGCTGCGGTTGATGCAGGATCGGGGTGATCGTCAGGGGCAGGTGGTGGTAGCTCTGCTTCAGCTGCACGGCCATCTTGGCGAAAGGCTAATAAAAAGGAGGCGAGTGTACAAGCATTAACATTTTCTCTATAATAAGAAGCCAGAGTGCGGGGAGAAAAATCAATGCCGTACCTTGGGTGAGATTGCAGGATTGGGATTCGAGGAGTTCCGGGTCTAACGACTTATGTAGATTACTATTATATCACTGGTGTGTTGCTCAGGTTCCGTGCTTTTGTGTTTCTTTCAGGGCTCTTAACATATTTCCACTCCGTTCCATTTTATGCGCGTCCAAACAAAAAGTTGCTTCCTGTTTTGTGTTCGTGCTCTCCTACTTTTGAATTTACCAGTTTCTCTGTTCCTCAAGTTTAATCCCTGATTTGTGGCCAATTAAATGTGGCTGCCAGGAGCTGCGCGTCGGACGAAAGCAGCGCATCGCAAAGTCACAGAATCGCAATTACAAGCGTCCTCGCAATGGTTACAACAAATAAAAGAAAATGTTTTATGTTGGGCGGTCTGCGCACGGTCTGACGGCGCCAGTTGGACAGCATACCGTCATGCAAGCCACTCGTGCATGTCGTCTGAATGACGGCAAAAGACCGCGCTTATTGGGATTCAAATTATAACGAAAGATTTTGATCTAAAAAAAACTACTTAATAAAAACCCAACTAAGAGAAAATCGAGTATATTGAGAACAAAATTAATTAAATAATATAAAGATTGTAAGTATCGTTTTTCTATTGCAGTTCTTATAAGCCCCTGGCACTTGGCCCTGATCATGGTGAAAGTAATTTTAAATCAAACATATAATTTTAAGGTCTTATTATACGAGCTCCTGGCACTTGGCCTTGATCATGTTGAAGGTGACTGTGCCAACGCTCTGTGCGGCGTTGTTGAGCAGCTCGAAGATGTGGCGGTTGCGCTGGCCCTGGTCCACGGTGCGCTCGTGCAGTCGACGCAGTGCGTCCGAGTAGGCCCTGTACTTGGCCTCGCACTCCGTGTCCAGCTTGAAGGTCTCGTAGAGCTGCTGCACGTCGTACAGCTGCCGCGCGGTCTCGTCGTACAAGAGGCTGGGCGTCTGGGGAAGCAGTGGCTCCCAGTGCTCATGGACCAGTTCCAGGAACTCGAAGTTGCTGAACAGGAAGATGACGAACAGATCGAGGCCCTTGGTCTTCAGCTGTGCCAGCAGGTGATCCGTGAGCTGTTCCGTCCTCGGTGAGTCGCGCATCTGCTCGTAGTCGGAGCTCAGGTGGAGCTCCAGGTAGGCGTACACCTTCTGGCGCTTCTCAAAGAAGTCCTGCGTGGCCAACATGGCGTCCAGCTCCTGCAGCATGTGGTCCAGCTTGCCACTGCTCTCAGCCAGCTCCGCATGGTCGCCTTCGATGATGTCCTGCAGCAGGGAGCGCAGTATCTGCAGGTAGTTGTTGATGATCTCGGCACCAGATAGTTTGACCCTCTCGTAAAGCTGTGCCCCAAACTCGTTGAGATCCAGCCCGGTGGAGTTCCCCTCCGCCCTCTTGGTGAGATTAAGCTGCTCCAAAGCCGCTCCCACGGTCTGTTCGTTAATCAGGCCACTCCTGGGAGACGCTTGTGGACGGTCGAGCTGTTGGCACAAGTGGTGCAGCCGCATTTGCCGGATCTCCAGGGTGCTGGTGTCCTGGGCAGCTCTTAGCGTGGACTTCAATCGGTTCAGGAAGACCAAGTTCCGCAGAACAGAGGTGCGCTCCAGATCCTTATCCAGGTGATCCAGGTCGAGCAACTGCTTGACGAGCGTCACCTTCGACTGGATCTTCGAAGTTGCGCGAGCTCCACTCAGCTCCTCCGTGTAGTTGGCATTTCTTGGACTTCGCTCCAGCTGATCCAGGTAATCGTTGAGGCTCAGCTCAGCCCGCTGCTCCACCTGGTCGACCAACTCCCGCAGGAACGTCAGCTGGAAGTCCTTCGCACTCAGGTCCAGTGCATCATCCACTGGCAGAAAAGGTATGAGGCAAAGGAAAGACAACCACCACATCTTATTGAGGGAACTGGATTGAGACAACCGATGGATGGAAGAGCCTGCATGGAACTGTCGTTGCAATGGGAGCTAGTTAGCTGATTAGGCTTAGGCCTAGTATGGGGTCAGTCGGTGATGCGGCTGGTCCGCCTGATAAGCCAATCCATTCTGACGATTCACTAGTGCCAAAGCTGAACTGGATGGCCTTATCGCAGCTGAGTAGGCACTGGAAGAAACTTCGAAAGTCCGAATGCAATGGACCAATCTACGAGTATGTAGTGTGATATGTGATTTAGTCCTTTTTTGTATCCTTACCTCCATAAATTCCGATTTTTAAGGCCATTCTTCATCATTTCTCCTTTCCTTCCTTTCTGACCTCGTCCTGGTCACTGGCAACTAAAGACGATAGGATTAGCTACCTGGAGTGAAAGAAGGCCCACCATCAGGTGGTGCTCCTGCCCCCGCTCCAGTTAGCTAATCTAATCGTCTTCAGAGGACGGTGCTTCAGCTGGACATCGCGAACTGTTAACCCAAGCTGTTGAAAAAGCATTTATTACAAAATATTTTTTTATGAACTTTGCCTTATATACCTTGTGTCTCTTGGAAATGTTTAGATTTTAAAATAAATAAAATATGATATTTTAAAAAGTTAGTTTAGTAGAATATGTGTTTAACCAATTTTTCGAGCGGTTGAAATTAGATAGCTTGTGTCTCGACAAGATTATGAAGTACACTGAATATTTTGCAATTGTAAAGTGACAAGAAAACATTTACAGTATGCATGGGTAAACTGATAAGTTTTTAAATTTCAAATTTTAATTGGCCTACTTTAAATTTTCAAGTAAAACAATAAATAGAAGAAAGAATGGGAAAACCAAAGTATGAGTTTATAAGATTTATAAAATTATTAGTATTTCTCTATTAAATTTATTTATGCTTCTTAATTAATCTGAATAACTCTATTTTAAATTGACATAACTAAACATTTTACTTTAATTGATGAATATATTCATTTTTCATGGCTCCCAAATAATATAGTCGTCAAATTTTCGTAGATTTAAAACTGTATCTTAAAAATGCATTTGCAATAAAATAAGTATTTCTTATTTATTTTAAGGAATCCCTAATTTATGAAAATAACAGTTATATTTGCCCTCTTGATCCAATTAGACAATAAATCAACTCGATTTTTCTACTGCGATGTATCGATTGCGGAGACTTATTAAAGTCCATCTCTACTAGCATGTCCCGGCATTTTTAGCAGATAGCGCGTGAATTTCTTGTTTTGTTTTTGAATTAATGAAAAAAATCAGATAGTCAGGAACCGCAGAGAGCAGCCATGGCCGACAGCCCGTTCCCGATGAGCAATCGCAGTGGCCTGCTGCGCACCACACTGAACAGCTCCCTGGCGCCGCAGAACCTGTCGCACTCATTGCTCCTCCTGGAGCAGAGCAACGCGGCCGCCCTGGAGGATCAATCGCTGGTGGAGGACACTGGCGACGATCTGGATCGCGGCAAGAGCCGCGTCGACGTGCTGTTCCCACAGTTCTTCGACGTCCTGCAGACGCAGGGCGGCGGATCGGAGACCTTCGAGGTCATCCAGGCACTGACCCACGTCTGTCGCGGCGTCGTGGAGCAGCTGGAGCTAGAGATAGAGCGCGGCGTGGGTGGGGCACAGGGCGCCCGGCAGCGGGAGTCCATTCTGGGATGGTTGCGCCAGGAGATCTACACGTGGCGCCTGCTGCATGCCCTCTACTATGACCGCATCCTGCTGCAGACCGACACCCAGGCGGACGACGAGATGCAGGACGGCCCCACCCTAGGCGGCAGCGAAAAGGAAGTCATCCAGCAGTTGTACACCATTAACGCCACTCTCCGTGAGTACCAGTTGGTGGTCGACTGGCTGGAGGCCTGCTACGATCCGGGGGAGCAACAGAATCCACTGCACTGCCACGATCGCATGATGGCCTGGGAAAACACACTGTTTCAGCTGGAGAACCTGCAAGGGGCCGCCTTTGGCAAGGGCCACGAGATCGTGACGCGTCTGGATCCAGATGCCCCCATCCGCGAGAAGCGCCCACTGCACGCCCTCGACGAGGAGGACAACGTACGCCTATCCCGCGCCATCTTTGCTGCCATTCGCTCGGGACGCGTGGACGAAGGACTGAAGCTGTGCAAGCACTACGGGCAGACCTGGCGGGCGGCCATTCTGGAAGGTTGGCGTCTCCATGAGGATCCTAATTTCGAGCAGAACGTGTCGGCGGTCCACGAAAAGCTGCCCATCGAGGGCAATCCCAGGAGGGATATCTGGAAGCGGTGCGCCTGGATGATGGCCGACTCCAAAAACTACGACGAGTACAGCCGAGCCACAGCAGGCGTCTTCTCCGGCCACCTGGGCTCTCTGAAGTCCCTCCTGCACAGCAACTGGCACGATTTGCTGTGGGCCCACTTAAAAGTCCAGATCGACATCCGCGTGGAGTCCGAGATACGCGGGTGCTGTCTGAAGCGCTACCAGCCCATGCCGGATGATTACTGGAACGGCAAGATGACCATGGAGCAGATCTTTGACGAGCTAAACGTGGCCAAGGATGCGTCAGTGCGGGACTTCGCCCAGGGGAACCTAGGCGTTATCCAGCGGCATTTGATCTTGGACACTTGCGGCGAACTGTTGCAGCACATGGTCCGTTGGGTGGAGAAGGATGCTGGTCAATTGTCACCCCACCAACTGCGCTTTATGGCCCACATTGTGCTTTTCCTCCGACAAATCGGTCGCGTGGAGCAGGAGCGGCAGGCGGAGAAGATCATTGCAGCCTATGTGGAGGCCTTAATTGCGAGGGGCGAACCCCAGCTGATAGCCTACTATGCAGCAGCTCTGTCGAATCCTCTGCAGGTGAAGCTGTACTCGCGTTTTTTGGAGCAGGTGGAGCAGAAGCGTCAGAGGGAGTTGGCTCTGGATGCCGCCTTGCAAGCTGGCTTGGATGTGGAACAGATAACGCGCATCACCGTGGAGAATATTCGCTTGGCTCAGCATGCACCTGGCGAGTTCGGAGAGCCGCACTCGGGTGAGATCTCTGTGCCGGATCAGCGTAAGATCTCGGCTCTGGAGTGGCTCCTCCATCTGCCGGAACAGCGCGGCGAGTTGCTGTGGCAGGCGAATGCCATGATGCGCACCTACCTGGCCTGCAGCAAGATGGAATGCGTGCGGCAGACCTTCCGCATGATCCCTGGCGACATAGTGCAGCAGATCGTGAGCTTGTACAGCTCGATGGACAACGTTCCGCCGCGTGAAGAGTGCTGCCTGAAGGAGTATCTCTGCTACAAGGTGTACCTGTCTGGCGTGAACAGCTTCGTGGAGTGGAACCGTCTGCAGCAGAACAGGCCAAAGAAGCCACAGGCTGGAGCTACTGGCTCCGCACAGGACAACTTCACGGAACGTATGGCTAGTGAGCGGAAGGAGCAGGCCCACCGATCGGAAGTCATGCGCTGGGAGCACAAGGTCAAGGAGCAGGCCAAGCGTAAGTTTACTATCTACTATTATTAAATAAATATCGTAGATATTTACACCTGTCCAATTACTAACCTAAGTTTCCGCTCCAATTATTTATCTGAATTTATTTTTTAAGCTTTTAAGTTTGATATCGTAATTATTATTCCATTCCTTTTGCAAATGCAGATGTCCCATAATTTCTTTGGCAATACTGCTTTAAATTTTAGTTCCCCATTGTTTAGTTCCCCCTCAAAACTTTAATTTGCCATTTCGACACTTTAATTTCAATTATTTGAAAACACAGAGCAAAAAACCTCAATTTTGAACACAATCCCTTTTTCTGCAGAAACCATCGAAACTCTGTATAACGTGCTGATGTTCCCGGACAAGGGATGGTTGGTGGATCCGTTCACCTCCAAGCAACCGGAGAACGGCGTGCAGCTAAACTGGGAGAACCGCCTGCTGCAGATGGAGAAGCTGCGGTGCATTTGCTTGCCCGAGATCGCCCTACTCCTGAACGAGGTCATGTTCAAGTCCGGAGACTTTGTGGGCTGCGTGCGCCTGGCGGATGAGATATCCAGCGAGAGTCGTCAGCTGTACAAGGTCTACACCAAGCACAAGCTGGCCGAGCTGCTGTCAAAGATCGCTGACGCCTCACTGGAGCTGCTCAACTCGAAGCTGGATCCCTGGGGCTACCCCATCACAGTCTAGGACGCGAGCCCAGTACAATGTGTGTGTTTTGCGATTACATTCTAACTTTAAACGTTTATTATTTATGCACTGATCACTTACAAAACTAAGGAGCGGATAAAGGGGGAGGTAGGTAGAGGGTTTAGGAGTTGTTGTCCACCGCAGCGGCGTTGTTTTCCTCGCACCCGTTGCTGTGCTTCAGCAGGTAGGAGGCAAGGAACTGGATCGGATCCGTGGGCCTCTCGCGCGCGAGTGCCTGTAATCCGTGGAGCAGAACCGGCGCCACCGTCTGGTCCAGGTACTGTCGCGTGGGCATGGAGCTGGTCTCACCACTGGTCTTCTTGGCCGCCGGCTGTTGCTGCTGTTGGGTCGCTGGCGTGGATTGGCCAGCGGTGGCTCCAGATGAAGCTGCAATTGCTCCCGGCGCGGAGCCCGAATTGGGTTGCGAGTTGTTGGTGCAATTCTGCTCTTTGGCGGAATCTGCAGTCGGATTCGGTGTGGGCGCCGGGGAGATGGGAGCGTCGGTCTTGGCCTCCATGGCTACGTTTAAATGGGGTTCAGTAAATCTCGGGTTTTGCAGCAGGCGTCTCTGAATCTGTCCAATAATACTATTCGCTCAAAATTTACATTCTCCGGTACCAGGGCAGGGTTGCCAAATGCAATTCGGAAATCGATTATTTCTTGCCCGCTTATCGAATATCTGCATACACAATTTTTAGACAACTGAGGTATTCCTGTGCAATTTAAAAAAAAACTACTTTTAATTCAAATTGGAAATACGCTAAATATTTTCAATATATCTTACCATATTTATTGGAAAAAGCTGTTTTTACACTTTATTTTGTAATTTGCAAGAGAAATTTGTGTTATAATTTCTATCTCAATTACCTTCTTAATTGCTGAAACTCGAATAAAGAGCTCAAACTCTTAACAGGTACTCATAGCTTATTAAAGACATAAAAACATCATAGTTTACTTTGCGATTGTTTTTCCTGATCTTGTAGTTTTTCATACTCAAATTAAGATAGAGATCAACTGTTTTCTTACAGTTTTCTTAAACGGTCATTTCGATATCCGATATCACGACTGTGACTCGATAGAAAAGCTGACCACCGCTATCGGGTGGGAAATCGATTGTCATCCCCAATTGAGCCAATTGGTTCATCTGCAGCTGAAAATTAGAGTGAAAACTAGGAAAATCTCACAGATCAATTAAAATATGACGGAGCTGCTGATCGACCCGGACATCCGTGTGTGGGTGTTCCTGCCCATCGTGCTGATCACGTTTCTAGTGGGCATCGTGCGCCACTATGTCTCCATTCTGATATCCACGCAAAAGAAGGCCGAGATCACCCAAATCCAAGACAGGTGAGACAACGAACGGCCGTCCAAAGGGTAGTGAAGCACCCTCTTGATAATACTATCTCACCTACAGCCAGGCGATGATCCGTGCGCGTCTTCTTCGTGAGAACGGCAAGTATCTGAGTGCCCAGAGCTTTTCCATGCGGAAGAACTACTTCAACAACGAGGAGACCGGCTACTTTAAGACCCAGAAAAGGGCTCCCGTGGCCCAGAACTCATCCGCCATGCTTACTGACATGGTCAAGGGCAACTTCATCAACGTCCTGCCCATGGTGGTGATCGGCGGCTGGATCAACTGGATGTTCTCGGGCTTCGTCACCACCAAAGTGCCCTTCCCGCTAACCCTGCGCTTCAAGCCCATGCTGCAGAGGGGAGTGGAGCTGGCCTCCCTGGATGCCGCCTGGGTTTCGTCGGCCTCCTGGTACTTCCTCAACGTGTTCGGCCTGCGCTCCATCTACACACTGGTCCTCGGCGAGAACAACCACGCCGACCAGACGCAGGCCCAGGCTGATGCCATGACGGGTGCCGCTATGACCATGCCCCAGGATCCAAAAGCGGCCTTTAAGGCCGAGTGGGAGGCCCTGGAGATCACCGAGTACCACAATGCCCTTAAGAACATTGACGCGGACATGCTGACCATTGCCAGCGCTGCCTTGGACAAGAGTCCTTGAGTGACCAGGCCTGCGGGCTCGATCTAATTAAGATATTTTAGCAAATTCACAATGTAACAAAGAAGGTTTTGTTTAGAGTCCAAGAGGGTTATAATAAAGAAAGTTGTGTGTCTATGATGATAAATTCTTTAGCGCGGTCGGTCGGTGCTAGCAAATAACTAAGCTTACATCGATAATAATCAGTGATAATGCAGACTATTAAAGAATTTAATCACCATCATATTTCTTTAAAAATAGATTAAAGGCATTAGAGATTTTGCCATAAACCAAGAATATACTATTTCCGAATGACAATAAAGAAAACCAATTTGATTGAGGGAGTTCAAGTCTAAAATCTATGACTGGAAATTTAAGAGATGTTGTACACTTCCCACTCCCAGTCGCGCATCAACTGATAAAAAGTAACAATAAATAGGAACAAGAACTTAGTAGTAGGCCTCTTCGGTGGCCTCCGTTTGAGGGGCTGGCTCCTCGGCGGCGGGCTCTGAAGGAGCAGAAACTGGGGGCGAAGGAGCCTTCTGCGGAACAGGTGGCGAGGGAGACTTCTGCAGCACAGGCTCCGGCTCGCTGGGAGCATCTGTGGCGGGAGCTGCTGTATCCGGCTCGGTGTCCTTCGACGGCCCTGTCTCGCCGCGAGCCGTGTTTAGAGGAGACGGAGGACGAGCGGTGGCCTGCACCTTGAACTGTTTCTCCGGCTTCTTGAGGTCCTTGGGCTTGCCCATCAGGCGGTAGTCGTTGGGCAACTCGGCTTCTGTGTAGAGCTTGTCAGCAAAGTAAATGCGTCGGATGCGCACGTTAGCATGCAGCTGTAAGGAGACCGTCTCCAGGTAGTTGGACCCGTAGGCTCGACGTGTGAAGTCAGCCAGGTTGAACTGGATCTGATTCCAACCCGGTGACATGCCCATAGGCATGGCCGTGCAGAAGGGCTTTACGGAGGTCTTGCTTTGGAAATTGGACACCCGGAAACGGCGCATAAAACGCTGATCGTCTTGAATCTATAGTTTGTACAGCATTAAACAGATTGTAATCTCTTAAAGAGATAAATATTATCTTATATTTAAAACCAATCCTCCATCAAGGAGTAAGCGATATAGATTCGTTTGAGAACCCCTTAAACTAACCTTAACTTCGAAGCAGAAGTACTTGTGCATGTTCTTTATCAGGAGCACCAGGAAGGGCAGCTTGATGCCCAGCTGTTCCTTGCACTCGCTGGGGCAGTGTATGAAAGTGGTGGACACATTGGAGCCCATGATCTCGAGCACCAGGGACTTGATGTCCTCATCGTATATGCGCTTGATGTAGCCGTTCTTGGTCTGCCCAAGAAAACATTCTAGCGGTACGAAGACGGATGAACTTCAGATACTCACATAGGAGGACCAGTTGTTCAAGGGTGAGCTGCCCACGCTGTAGAGGACTGTGAGGAACCCTTTTTGGTAGGCTGAACGAAACATCGTCGTTTGTATATTTTGAACTGTCTGTGTCTGGTTTATATGATCAAGCTACGCACAAGTCCCCAAGTGACTGATGTGAAAGAGCAATCTTAAACTATATCTAGACTAATTGTAAAAGGGATTGTACGTGACCCAGTGAGCGCGTTCCTGGTCCTTCTCCGTCTTGTGGGAGGTAAACAGTGATTTGTAGACGTCGCTGGCCTTGGGATCTTTGGCCACGCTGAAATCGCTCTTGAGGCGCTTCAGTTCGGGATCTTGCATGGCGTTGACGGCGCCCAGTCGTTTGAGCTGAGCCACCGCCTTGACTTTCGAGCTGGTGGTGGGCTTCTCCAGCGGTGCAGACTTTGATGTAGAGGGCACTGGATCCTGGGTCTCTTCGGTCTCAACTTTAACCTCCACCTTTTTGGCCTCTTTCTTCTCCTTCTTGGAGGACTTGCGCTTGGCTGCCCGCATTTCCATTTTGACCCGCATCAGCTCCAGATCCTCGTCGTTGCCGTTGAGCACCACCACATCCTCGACGCTGTAGGGAGCCTGACACAACGGACAAGTGCTGGCTGCGCTGCCTTTGATCTGTTTCAAGGCCCGTTCGGACACTACGCATCCGCAGCTCCACAGGGCGACGAACCGGAACTTTCCGGACATCTCGAGGCCAATCAGCTTGCAGATGTATGGAGCGTGACGAGTGTCCAGCAGACCCTCGGTCTTGTCCTCCTCCGTGAAGGCGGGATTGGGTGTCGGGTGCAGCTGGCGAATGTCCTTCATGCTCTTCACGTGCGCCGCCGTCTCCGGCATTGGTTCCTTTTCCAGCAGCCGCTCAATGACGCTCTGCTTGGAGTATAGCCTGCCCATGCCACACATAGCGATCGGCTCCTGAAGCCCCTGCTGGGTCAAGGTGCAGTGGCGCCATCGGAACTCCCTCTCCGCATCCTTGTCTTTCTGAAAAGGGGTGAAAAAAGGAGTTAGTCTAGATACGGGGTGCTCCAATTACAATATATTACCTGTTCTGGCTTTTGCTTCACGCGCACCAGCTCATCGCGCCTGGGAATAGTTCCGCCATCACATCCCATTGTTGTATGTTGATTTTATTAAAGATTTTCCAAACTTTTGTCGAGGGATTCCTACGTGAGGCCACAGGTATCTGAAATGTGCATCCTAATAACTAAGTGATTCTGTAATTTTTAAGCTAAACGTAGACTACTTACAAAATAATCAATATATATATTAATTAACTGGAAACGACGCTGCTAATCACAATTTTTATTTATTTATATATTGCTCATAGAGATGAGAAAACATAGACATCGATTACAACGATATTTGTATACTTTCCAATCGATGGCGACATACTTTTTGGTATATTTCCAATTCGATATTAAGGAGAAAAACAGTTTTATTTTTGAAAATTTCAAAATATAAATTTTTAAGATAATGGGCCTATATAAGACATACATATGCGTTTTTTTCTTATCTCCAGGAGAACAGGGCGATAGACAAAGAGTCGTAGATATGGTGAATTTGGTTAGAAGAGAATGCAAACAATAGCATTAAAATCAGCTCTCCAGATAAACAAATTCGTTGTAAATTTAAAAATAATTCAAATGGTCTTTAACATTTGGATGTATTTAAACACACAAACATTTGCTTAGTCGAGTAAAGTAGCTTAACAATTGTTACGTAAAAACTACCAATAAATTTATTTTTACTTAAGAGTAACTCTTACGTAAGATACAATATAATACAATTTTTTCAAATTGGGGGCTATTTTGACTCGGGAGTGCCATCAATAAAAGAGCTTTTGCCATATTTGTTAAACACATTTTTTATTTGAACACTTTAATTAATTTACTGATAAGCAAGAAAGCGGTACCCATAATTGAAGTAGTCATAAATAATGCTGTTTAATTAGCTGTAATTAAACAATATATGCTATCATTGTGAATGGACGTCTACGTAGTGACGAAAAGCATCGAAATTGTCAGACTATGTATGCATACACGCATATTTTAAGATAATCATTAGAATTTTTATTTTAACTAAATTTTGGATTGGCACAGAAACAAAAAGCGAAATAAAAAATGCATTTAAAAATTTGAAAATCGTTATTTTTTAATTTGTTTATTAAAGAAGAACGTTAGATCGGAAAAGATTTGTTGTGCTAAAATGTATTAAATTACTCTTGTTATACTATTTAGAATAAAAATCGCTTTCGTGGTGGTATCCCTTCCCTTTCTAGAGAAATGATTGATACTACAAAATTCAAAAAGATTCTTAAAATAAGTCATGATCGTGCAGATGGTGATACAAAATCATAAGATCTATTGGAGGTGCAAGGTTGAGTTTCCTTTTGTGAGTGTTTTTGTTTGGCTAGTTATTTATTCGTACACCTTATTTAATTTACTGATAAACAATAATTCCTAAGAATTCTTTGTTTATCTTAGCCCTAATTGCCTAAGATAAGTTACCCATCCAAATAGTGTCGAAGCGCACTGACTGTGAGCGGAAATAACTACACTATTCACTATTTCATTTAGCAAAGATTTTAGTTGTATAATTGAGTAATAGAAAATATAAGAATATAATAATAAGTTTTAAATTTATAGAAAAATATAGAAAAATAAGTTTTAAATTTTAAAAACTCAAAATATAAATTCTAAGAAATGTCCTTATATAAGATATACATATGAAATTTTTTTTCGATTTAAATTTAATTTGCATGCTAGAAAAACGGGACGTTAGATAAAGAACTGTAGATACGGTTTACTTGAAATTTTTAAAATAATTTGGTTATTTCTGTGTAACCCCAAATGCAATCATTTGCTTTAAATCCAGCTCTCCAGATATAAAAGTAACTATACAAATAAAAATTAATAATTATTAATGAAATAATTATTAGCAAATACATTATCTATTAATACAAATATAGAAATGGTGCCGTAACAAAAATATTTTGCAATTTGCTATTGTGTAAAGAGATATTCGTCACAAAATGAAAATTCCAAATTGTAGATGCTTAACTGCGATCGTCACTTTATTTGTACCTGTTTAAGAGGAGATTTCCAAGTGCTTGTATAGAACCGTGTGCCTTGCTCGATGAATATAAAAGCTGATTTTTTTGAACGGCACTTATTAATTAATAAACTTTTAAAGAAAACATGGCGAGACAAGAGCTCTTAGCTTGCGTTTTCTTAGCCCTGGTGCTGGGTATCAATTCACTGAGCTGTCCATCGCCATTTACTCAAGTTGGCAACAAGTGCTACCACGTGAATTTACAAAAGGTCGGTACTATAAAGAAATATGTACACATTATTCAAATTAAAAAATACATTTTCAGGCCAACTGGCATGTTGCCGATCGCAGCTGTAGAAAACTCGGAGGCGATCTAATGGTTCTAGCCGATGAAGAGGACAAGCTCCTTACAACCGCATACCTTAAGAGTTTGGGGCTTCAGTTCACCCAAAGTTGGCGACATTCCGTTTGGGTTGGCATCAATTGCCTGGGAAACCGGCGCACGTTCCTCCGGTCCAAAAATGGGGATAGTATTCCCTATTTGAACTGGGTGCCACGCCAGCCGGACAACGCTTCTCCCGAAGAGGATTGTGTGGGATTCGCCCTCTTTAATGGGGAATACGGGTACCACGATATAGAGTGCAAGGTCGAGTTTCCTTTTGTGTGTGAGAGGATTTTAGAAGAGGATTATCTCTGCCTCAAGAGGGAACTGTTCTTTGAGGCATATTTGTAGAGCTATAACATTAAATAAATGAATGTATTCAGACCACAGTGAAATTGTTATAGTCTAGTGTTTAAATGTACAAAATTAAATGAAACTTTCGATGGTCTTTTTTTAAATTAACAAACCGAAGCTCCCATTCGGATTTATTTCAATAAGTTTTGAAATTAGCACTCCAATATCCAAATCGGATTTGTTAATACATCCAGAAGAAGAGAAACTCGGACGATAAATATTTAATATAATTTGTATATCTTTAGCCAGCATGGAATATTTGGACTCGAAAATATGGAATTATTCTTGAAATTGGAATTTTAATTTTTGATTTTTTTCTGAGTTAGCTTAAGCACGTGAAAAGGTGAAAATATTGGCTCCACAATAGTTTGAAGTGATAGAAAGCAAAGACCAATATTGGTCTTTGGTATTACACAGATATTCAAAGCACAAATGAAAGCCCGTTTACAAAATTTGTTTGGCTAGTTCTTAATTTGCAGTTGCCTAAAGAATTTGTTGTTTAACTTAGCATTAATTGTCTCAGATAAGGCTATCACATCCAATTAGTGTCGAAGCTCACCTACTGATTGCGAAAGAAACTACAGTATTAATGCAGTTCGGAAAAATGTATTTATCGATTGAATACTGGAGCTGTTGTGGCTGATATTGCATTCTCAAACGTGATTTTGATGGCCTTTCCAAAATGAAAAAAATTTTCTAGTTTGATTGTCTCTTGAATTAAATACCTGTTTATGGGTTCTTAAACAGTTTAAGCGGAAAACTATTTGTAGTTAAGCATTCTAAAAAACAAGTTTTAAAATAGGCTGATTTGATATTTGAGCCGCCGGATGGGAGCTTCATTTTTTCTGTCATTTAGCTAAAATCTTAGTTGTATAATTGAGTAATAAATATTGCTTACATACTTACCTATCTAGGAACTTTTCATTTTGTATTAAAAAATTCTGCCACTGTTCTCCTAAAGAAAATTTATGGGAAACATTTTTGTAAAAGAAATGCATCATATGGATACGGTTTTGTATTCCTTAGAAAAAGATTTCATTAAAATCTTAACTAATTGTTAACTTTCTAGGCTGTATTTATGTTGATAGTAAGTTTGATGAAATATGTAAAGTTAATAGCATTTGTGTAAAAGGTAAAGCTATTACTGAAGTGTCCTACATAGGCGATTTAACGGCTCATTACTTGGTTAAATAATCCTATTTTTGCAGTCAATGAGCTTAAATTACAGTGAGTTTTAGTACAGACTTACTGTAAGCCAATTTAAAATGTTGGAAGTAAATATTTTGTGTAGGTAATTATCACAGATTAGTGTCTTTGGATCAAGAGGTATCTTACCAAATTAATGAAAAGCCGACCAACGGAAAGGCACAAAGATTTAATTTTATTGAATTTATTATCAACAGCTCTATTATGCAATTACGATCTATTGAAAAGCAGCTCCTACGCGTCCGTGAAGGGGCAGTGCTTGGCATACGGCACATCTATGCAAATACAGCCTCGGGCGCTGAAAGTTCAGGGGATCAGGTTAAGGAAAAGATATATTCGATGTTCCATTAAAAACTTACTCATCGGGGGCGTCATTGCCCATGTGGTACTCCCTCAGCAGCGAGGCAAACTCGAAGGGATTGGTTTTTCCGCTGACGGGCAACCGCTTTGGTCCACTGAGATTCAGGCAGCCGTTGGGACAAGGAACCCCCATGAACTTTTTGTGCTTGAAAGTGGCCGTGGCCAAGTAACAGATGCTCAGGAAATGCGAACATCGGGACCTTCCTGCAGGATAAAGGGAGTACAAATTAAAATGCTAAAGCATATGTGTTGTCGTTCATATCAATAATCCAGCCTAAACAATATATTTGAATTTATTAGTCTTAGAGCCGATTTCTCATTTTGATGTTAAATTTCGAAAACATTTACTATTTTTTCAATATCATGTTAGAGTTTATCTGACTAAAGACAGGTAACTAGAGACATTGTTCTATGGAATATTTCTCATTATTAAGAAAACTTTAAATATTTGTCGTTTGCACAAAGAACATCATATTTTGGAAACGAATTTGTCTACTTTATGTTAACTTTCTCTCTTAGATTAGAAACCTTAACATGACTTTGAGAAACCGGCTTTAAGAATGCCAAATTGATTAAAATTGATCTGAAATACTTTAACACTGCTCTTACTAATGGGATTCCCCTTGCAAAAGGGCTGGATGCGACCTCCGTTGACGCAGTAGTTCAGGTGCCCGGTGTTGTCCTCCTGGCCCAGGAATCCGGCATTGGTGTGGATCACCTGGATGACACTGGCATCGTCCAGCGACAGCCGGAAGGTGTTGCTCTTCTTGCGCTCAATCAAAGGTCGGGCGGGATCCAGGCCGATGATGCGGTACTGCTTCCGCGTCAGGTGGTTGCTGATCATCCCGCAGATGTGGGCGCCCAGCGAGTGACCCACGCAGGTGATCCGCTCCCGGACGGCTCCGTAGTGGGTCAGGAAGGCGTAGATCTGGGCAGTGCACTGCGCCGTTAGCCTGGTGTTGATCAGGGAGTGCAGGTAGCACGGATAGCGGGTCAGGGGTCGCCAGTCCACGGTGATGACGTTAAAGTCGCGGGATAAGTATGCTGGAGGAGGTAACGTGATTAATAATCAAAATAGCAAACATAAATGTAATATTTGGAAAACAAAGTTAAATAGCGTATACTAAAAATCACTGCACCGAAGAAAACAAATTCAAATAAGTTCAAATGAGTAAATTAAGTACGAAATATCAGAAAAATATCATAAAATTCACACTGTTGATACCGAAAAATGAACTGTGTTTTCTCTTGCATATAATCCAACAACTAAACGTTTGTTAATTCAATTTGCGAATTAATGGGTAAAGAAATATGTGTTTGTGAGAAAAACCAGTTTATATTATTTTGTAGCTTTGAACAACCATTTATAATGTTATGAACCAAATAAATTAATCTATTTATACTCACCATCCCTGAGAAATTGCAGGTGAATGTCGATGGCGGTTCCATTGAATCCGTGAATTATGAAGACTGTTTCGCGGTGCTTGCTGAAACCACCTTTATAAAGGCTCATTGGGTTCTTCACATTTAATGTAATTCCGCGACGCGGCCCATTACTAAAAAAACAGGGTCAGAGTCGATTAAATATACAATTTAAAATTCGATTAACTATATGAAGCCCTTATTGTATTGGTGACTTAATTATTATTGTATTTTCAGATACGTTAACCTTTATTTTCATTCGAAATCTCACTGCTGATATGACCGTATTGAAACGTGATAATTGTTGGCAGATATCTCTTTGTTGTTAGTACGTGTTCTTCGTTTAAATGGAACGATCGACATTTCATGTGGGTATAAAACCGGAGAAACCTCTCGAGCGGCAAGTGATCTGAAGCCAGAACATGACCAATCAAGTGCTCTTCATTTAGCTCCGTTTAGCTCTGTTCTTGGCTTTTATTTTTAATTTCCATTGAAATTTGGACAAGAAGTGCATTTCTGTTTCTTTAAATAAGGGCGGATTGCGATAAAATGTGAAATTTTGTATTTAAAAATTCTTTACATATCTTTCCGTTAAGGTCTTATTTGGGATTTGCTTTAATAAAACTTTCACATATACATGATGGAATCTACTGAGCTATTGATTCTGATCTAGAATATATATACTTTCTATCATCAGAAATTTTGAGGGTTGGCAAGCTGTTACAAATAGTATCAGAGACTACGCAAGAACAGTGTTCAGAGCCAAATTATTTTAAAGTGGTTTTCATAAGCGAGTTATAGAGTCTAAATAGTGGCTAAAGGCGAAGTGTGAGCCACTCGTTTGTGATCCAAGAACGGTGGTGTCAATCCGGTAATTTTTCGCTGTTATACAACCATCAATCAGCAGTCTCTTCAATGCTGGTCATCATGTAATCCCCTCCGCCGTATAATGTTGACAATTACTTGGCTGCTCTCCAAAAACGGACTTCACCAGTTGTGACTTTGTCTGGAGTTGATCTTGCCCAGACAAGTTGGGCAACTACCAAGGAGTCGTTTGTAAAGTATTTTATTGGCCAATTGGCCATTGCAATTGATGTCATCGCCGGCCAAACTTGGCGGTCAATGTGGCAAAAACAGGCCTTCTTTGGCGGGCTCATTTCATCCTTAGTGGGTCAGTGGCTGGTTTCTATAAACGAGTTGACCGCCGATTAAATACACTCTTGTTTTTCGGTCTTTGCCAGCCGATATCCTTGTGGTTGCACAAGTGCAGTGCGACAAGTGTTTCGGCAGTTGACATACTAACCGAGTGAGAAAATCCAGTTGCCTAACACTAACACCTGAGGAACTTTCTCCCCCGCCCAGTGGCTATTATAAATCATCACAGGAAACGGTCATCTCGCTACACAGAGAACAAAAAGTATGGGTAAGCGGCTATCTCAAAGTATTAGCCATTGGAAGCTTTTATATTTTAATATTTTTTAGGGTTATGCGATTTTAAATTTAAGAACTTAAAAAAGGTCAAAACTAAAATATGATTATTTAAATAATAGATTAATAGAAATGAGAATATTTTTAAACGTTTTTAAAAATTTACTTGTTAAAATAAAAAAAGGTCCTTTTAATTTTTTTTGTTAAACGTTATTAAATTTTTAAAACTAAAAAGTAAATAACGTCTAACACAAGTAAATAAGAGAAAAGTTTTATATGTTTATTTGAAAAAATTAACCAAATATTTATAATCAAAGTAGATTCTGTCCTTAAAATATCAAAGTATGTTTAAATGACCTGAGATCACATATTCTAATTGAACTGTTAAAGGAAACAGCTTAGAGTCAAAATCAAAGAATGCATACAAAGTGTACAATAATTTTTGTGTGTGTATTTCATAAAATGGGAATTATGAATTTATGGGATCCTTGGAATTTTCACTTTTTCAACTTTAAGTTAATTATGGGAGAAATTTAATTTATGACTTTGGGGCTTTATAGTTCATGTTGTATTTTTGGAGTACCTTATTTAAAAATGTGTTCGTTATGTCAAGAGAAAGGAAGCCTTGCAGAATTCAATCGAACTTACGGAGCATACAGTCGGTGATCGATATGTGGACTGGGACAGAAGTTTTTGTCGCGCAGAAAGCAACGCAAGACGTTTAAATCCAAGGCTCCACTGTTACGCAGATTTTTCCAATCCGTTTGGCTTAGCAGCAATGTTTGTGCATCTGCAAATGTATTTGATGTGGTCTTTAATTCTCAGACCCTTTTCTGACATTCTTTCCACAAGGTAAGTTAAAATAACATTAAGGAAAGTAAAGGGAGTTTAAATGAGGACATTGACTTCAATTTTTTGAAGTCATTCTGTTACAACTCGATAAATACATTTAATTTCAGATTAAATATAAATATTTTATATTGTCATTTGTTGTATACCTTTGGCAAAGAATGTGAATATGCAAAGCACGACGAGATGTTTCATTTTTATTTGGATTTCACCTTTTGAAACTAATTTTACTTTTTTAAAGAATTTAATCTTTTTTGATTTTCCGATGACACAATTTTGTGCACAAGAAACACCAAATTTTTTAAATTGTAAATATTTTTAGTTTTATTTGAGCCGCAAATAAATTCACATTGGACAAAGTTTTAACTTCATCATTGTTGAAGTTTACTTATTTTGTATTTAATTGGTTTAGCTATTTTTGACATTTTTTTTCCTTATAAAAACTTGTTGTTTTATTTCTAACTTATTTAAAGTTAATTAATTTGAAATCAGCACTCTATATTTATTAGGTAACATGTCACTTAGACACATTTATTTGTAGAATTTGTGTTTCGATTTTTAAGTCTTTAATTATTGACTTTTTTTCGTGCAGGACATTCGGATTTTCTTTTAGCAAATATGATTGCCTTTCACATATTTCGTATATTTAAACCAGATTCCACTCCGCTTTTCCGTTTAAATTGACAACTTGCACTGCGATCACATGGTTTTTAATTGATATCCATTTTTTTTTGCCGATCGGTTTCATCGTAATCCTTTGCACTAAAATCAGCAATTTTAATTTATTCGCGAGCAATCCGAACCACGTCTTGCTGATTCGCGCTGTGCGCTGCAAATGCGCTGCAAAAGCGCGAAATGCGCAACGAAGGAAAATTCAGTCGTCGCTGCAGCAATTGCAACGGTGGCAGCAACTCCAAAAGCGGCAACATTAGCAGCAGCAACAGCAGCCACGGTAAAAACTGGCCAAAGAATTGCTCAGCCCACCGCCTGTTGCCTTGACTTTGTTTTACCCCGACTTCAAACGTGAACGACTTCGGCTAATAAACAATGTTGCTGCTGTGTTTGCTTTATTGTTGCTGCAATTGCTGCTGCTGTTGTTGTTGCTGCCTGGCGACGTCTATGAAATGAAAATCCATGGCACACGCAACGCTGCACTGATTTTGATTATGAGTTTTGAGTTGGAAATGGGTGCTTTCGGTTTCGTTTTCCAACTCAGTGCCGTTGCCTTTTTCATGGTGTCTGCGGTTTGTAATTCATCTGTTCATTATTTACATAACATTCGCATTGAATGCAAATTCTTATCATTTTCCCTGACGACATTTGCCTAGTTTGTTTCCTAAGTCTTTCGTTTTTGCCAAGGCCCAGTGAAATATTATCGCTCTTGCATCTTTTTTGGCGACTGGCTGGCCTTTCATATTCAAGGCCAGAAAAAGGAAAGGTTCAAAATCAGGGATCAACTGCGACCATTTATCAGGCCAATCTGGCTCCAGAAAAGTGAAAGATTGGAATGTTTGTCTAGGCTTGCGTGGTGCGCTTGCTAATATTTTAAAATAAATTCAATGTAATGGAATAAATAAAAATCGTCTTGGGAGAAATATATTGCAATCGTGCATAGAAGAGTTTGGAATTACTTAAAATTTTATTTATACTTTATTTATATATAATAATAATGTATAAAGAAGGGGTTTATTTATCATGGCTGGTTAAAAATTCGCTTTTTTCTTCAGATAAACCACAATCTTTTCACCTTGTTTATTGGACTTTAAGCAATGATTTTAAAGTTGCTTTTATCGATCAATAAACAGCTTTTGTTTAGTCAGACATTTAGCATAAAAAGTAGAGCAGTAATGAATATAAAGAAAGCTCAGATTAGATAGAATAGCATTTCAAATCTGCTAAATGATTCTAATTAATTTATTTTTTTTAACAATCGCTGGTTGTAATCACATTTATTTACTATAGTAACACCTTTAAATTCCCACTTTACTCACCTGGTAAAAAGCTGGAATTCTAAATACCGCTTGGGGCATGTTTCCCACAGTAATATGTGACAGTTTAGTGGATTCAAGTCGAAATTTCCATTTCGCAACAAGAATTGGAGTGCCTCTTTGTGATATTTGGCTATAAAAATGAAACCAGCTTAGCACATAAAACACTTTTCTTATCGGCGACGTGATCTTCCCACTTACACGCGTTTGTGATCGGCTCCAGGGAAAGTAATGATAAGAGCAATACGAGTACGCCGGTCGACATGTTGGCCAAATGAACTCCGCATTTACATTGATATCACGGAGGAGAGCTAGGCACATCGGGTTAAATGGAAGGCGTTTAATTGAATGCGCCATTCGCATCGCCTACTGCTAAACTGCGGAGCACAGAGCTTTCAAAAGCTGCATCCGCACAAGAAAATGGAAAACGAATGAAAATCGCCGAAAATTGACACTCACGAACGACCTGACGCCATCTGCGGCTTGGGTGACATTGCTTTGTGGGGAGCTGCCAAGTGCTTGTTTTCATATTTCGGTCTCGTGTGCACAGAAGCTGCGTGTAACCGAAGCCCCGATTTCCATGTGGCCAGGTACACTGGGAGAAATTACCCATCCTAGCGCGGTGAACTTGAACTGAGATTCACTTGAAATGTCGGTGGTGATTAGTCATAAACTAACCACCCAATTTCCAAAAAAAAAACTCTTCAAACCTCTTCAATTTAATAATAATATGAGATAAAATGTTAAAAAAAAGCATTGTCACCTTTATAACTTAATAATATACAAAAGCTTTGCGGTAAATTAGTAAATCTAATTTCCTAAAAAAATAATTATATTTTCCAAGAAGAACATTCGTAAGAGTGTACTAAGTTTATTTATTTATACAAATTTAAAAGCCATCGCATAATTTTTCTTTAATTGATTTTAAAAACTATTTTTCTTTCATCGAAATGAGTTTAGGTAAAGAAGTTTAATTAAAGATTATTTAATATAAACTATCCCGTATTCGAGAAAGTAATTTACATCAAAATTTTTTTGGGGTGTAATATCATATAGTTGACGGATTTGATTGGATTTTCGCAATTGTCTATATCGTTATAAACGGCTATTGATTGCCACATGGGACCACCTGCAGGCTCCACACATTGTCCACAGCAATAAAGAATAAAAATAATTAAAAAAGCTTTGCCGTAGATAGCAGAGAAATAAATTGGGAAACAAATTGAATGGCTGTTAGCATTTATGGCAATGATCTTAGTCGAATTAAGCGTTATCACGCCACATTTCCTTTTAAAATTTGATAGATTAACAATAAGTTGGTTAAGTCATTATAAAAATGGAGTGGTATTTAGTATTCATGCAGATATTATGAAATCTATACTTTTTTTTAGCATCAGCTAAGGGGTCAAATAAGCACAGGCTAGTGAACCTTACCTTTAGGTCTAATTTAAAAGTCAGCCCAAATTATTTCCCTACACCTTAAAGACAAAAGTTGTTAGAGGGAAACAGATCTCAGTTGCGAAAAACACGAGCCCATGCCCAAAGTGACATCAAACGCTTTTTCTACCGGCATACAACAATTTTCCAAACGAAAGTAAACACGGTTGGCTCTGCGGCTAATGCATCTAATTGAAAGTAATGAGCTCGTTGGCCTACAACTCCGCAAAACGGGGCTAAAGTCAACTGGAGGCAACAAAAACGTTTTCATGGGCTCACTATATCAAAACCCCACGAAAAGCCAAGGAAAAAAAGATATAATGCAAATGAAAACTAAAACGGAACCGTAGTGCAGAGAGAAAAAAACTAATGTCACAGTAAATGTTTCCCTGAATTTATGTTTTACGTTTGGTACTTTAAATGTAATGGTTGCCTTTGTTTTAAATACTATAAAGTATTTATTTTTGCTCCGAGTTTTGAATTTTAATATTTTGTTTCTACCACCAATTGTTTAATTCCTTTCTTGGTGTTTATTTTGCGTCGACAAATGAAATGCGCCATTTGCATATTTATTTGAAAGAGAGTACATTTTTCAGTGTTGCCCATTGCTTTCCTTTTCCTTTATTGGGGTTTTCATTTGTTTTTCACGGTTTCAGGTCTCAGCCAATCTGCTGTTACTGCCTACTTGTTCATTTGATGTAATGTTTTGAATTGTTCATTCATCTGGTTGTGGTTGACGGAGAATAAGTGCCAATTGCATAACATTTTCCCGGGTTGCACTGATAGGAACTAGTTTTTATTCACACCCAGATGGTATCCGACTGCTATTGTCTTGCTATCGGCCCTATTAATTATTATTCCAATTAAGATCGAAATCTGCCTAATTGTCTACTTTTGAACACCAAGGAAATGTGAGGCAGTAAGACTGCCAAATAAAAATAAAAAATTTTCCAAAGTCTTAAAAAAATTACTTGCGCTAACAATCAATCAGTTTACAAATTGAATGATTTTAACTTTTTATTTTGGAAATTACACACATTGCAAATTAATTGACCATGACCAATTTCGGTATACCTCGCTCATTTGTGTTTCTCTTTTTTAATGAAGTTTAAATTTCTCATAAACTTTATAAGTTATGGGGCATAACGTAGGCCGGAAACTTCCGTAAAATATTCACAGTACAAATTATAATGAAATGTTATGGTTTCGGGATTGATATTATTGGATTCCTGCTGCTTTAAATAAAAAGAAGAACTCGCTTGTTTTATTTAATTATGTTGTAAATTATAAAATAAAAACAACATAAAAGAGTTTTTTTAAACATATTGATTTTATTTTTATAAAAGTACCCATTATTTAATAGTCTTTTTTGGCCAACTTCTTATAAATTTAAAATACTAACCAAAGCCAAAACATGCACAGGTACACATTTGTAAGAGTAAAGAAAGAAACTTCGACAATCCGAAGATTATATACACTTGAAGATAATTTAAAAATTTGTATACATTGTATATTTTGATTTCGATTTTTCTGCTTAAAAACAATCGTTCCTATGGCAGCTATATGATATAGTCTCAGACTTTTATAAAGAGGATAAATTATCACTTCACTAAAGTACAAAGATGTGATAACTGAGCAAGCAGTTTATGGTGCTGTTACCCACTAAACGTTGTTAAAAGAAAGCTCATTTACTAACTTTATTAAGTTCAGCGAGCTTTTTGTGAAAAATCATACCCAAAATATCCGTTAAATTTGATATGATTATGTTTTCCGCTAAAAAATAATCTTTTTTAAATACTTTACGTTTTATATTTTCGGATATTTCTAACGTGTTTTTATATTTTTGCAAATATTGTATTCTTGAAAAGATAATAACATTATTTAGAAGGATACGTTTCTGTTTAATAATGTGTTTCCTATACGAAAATATATTTATAATAATAATATTGCCTTAAAATATTAAGATTGATATTGCAAATTTCCAATGAGCTAAGAAATTATTTTTTTTAATAAAACCTAAGAAATCGTCGTAGATAAGTATAGTTTTCTTTCTTGACTTCTTTTAACGTAATTTTTAAGGTCATGACTGCGAAACAGCATTCTCTTATATTAAAACTTCGTCCGAAATTCAATTAAACTTAAAAAGCTGACTCATTGTTATTTCTCGTCAGGCCTAAACATTTTTTCTAAAATGCAAGGCTAATTCCAGTTCCAATTTAATTTACTTTTGAACAATTGTATAAGCTTTCCCCAAATAGCAAACTCTAGAGTAGGATTCCACAGAGTCGGCTCATTACTTATGCAAGTCGCAATCAATTTTCAATTTCTTGCCTACACTCAACGAACTCCTTGGGAAATAATCAGAAGGCTTTGCCTACTTACAGATA